TGATTTTTCCTATCCTAATTTAAGTACCTCAATCAAAATTCCGTTGAAGTTTTTTTTCTTTGCCTAGTTCTGGAGGTCACGAATAGGTTAAATGTGCTTGTCTGGCTTTGTTCCATGTCTCTCTTTCTGCCTGTGCTTTCACAGACTCCTCTAGAGAAAAAAAAGAAACAGTATCACCCCCTTTGGTCTTCACTGCCTTCAGAAGTTACTTAAAATCAAAGCTTGCAAAAAGACATGATTCTGGGACCTTACATTTAAGGGACATTACATATTTTTATGTGGGATGAAAAAAGCATCTTTTAAGGGATTTTTTTTTTCTACTCTGTTGCTAAACTTGTCTGAACAAGTCAGGGCAAGCTGTAGTGAGTATTCAGATGTGCTGAGGATTTGGGGATTTTTTTTGAAAAATGTTTCTTTATTATCACTTTGTGGTAACAAGCCTTTTAATACGTTTTCTGAAGGCTTCTAAAATGTCTCCCACAAAACCACAGCCTACTAGGGCAAACCTGACTGCCTGTCAGACTGTCAGACACTGTGCTTTGGACCAGCAATGTCTTAACTTGATACCTGCTTCTGCTTAGTTTATTTGGAACTGTTTGAAGCCTAACCGCCCTGCCTGGTCTATAATTCGGGGGTGGCAAATCTCTGGAAAGGTCCGGATAGTAAATTCTTTATGATTTGTGGATCACGTCGGCTCTCCCTTGCATCATGTTCATTTTATATCTTATTCGACATCCTCTAAAGAAAATCTTTTCAAAATGTAAAAATGTCACTCCTTGTTCATGGGCCACCCAAAAACAGGTCATGGATCTTAGAAGGCCAGGTTTAAAGTCACAGTCATTAAACACAGATATACAGCCCCAAGGTGAGGGGAGGATTGCCTTGAGCATTTGCTTCATACACAACCAGCAAAAGACTCCCTGGCTAAAGACTAGCAAATACAATCTTTAGACCATGCGTCATTTGTTTCTTCTTCCTTACGTACATTTTTTCATGACAGTCTGATTTTTGTTTTTATTTTCAAGGAAAAAGAGAAAGGCTAAAAGGAAAGAGGGAGGATGCGGGGAGGAGAAAGAATTGAATGAGAAAATAATGAAAAAAGAAAGAGAAAGAAAAAACTTGGAAATGAAAGAAAAGAATGGAAAAAGCAAAAAGGAAGAAAAGAGAAAGAAAGACAGCAAGTGGTAGAGAGGGGGAGAAGAGAGAGAAAAGAGAGGAAAACAGAGAGCCAGAAAGTGAGAGTGCACAGTCTCTCCCTCCTCTACAGGCAGCTCTTAGCTGCACCTCCCCAGCTGCTTTCAAATACTGAGGCTGCTGCCCAGCCACTGATCACCATCCCAAGAAGTGAAATGTGGGCTTCACATCTGAAAACTTCCACTTGCTTTTGTACCAAGTAAAATGGAACACAGAATTCAAGGCCCAAGCAAATGACTTGTGTTTTCTTTGGGACACTTAGGCTATTTCTACCCAGGGAAAATTTTGATGGACTGTCTAACTCCAGTACATATGATTAATGTATATATAGGGCAAACCAGGATAATTCCGGTTTTTTTTTTCTTCCACAGCAGGTTTTCAGCCCGAATTATCTGGATGTTTGCCTCAGCTCTCCACTAGGCTTTGCCAGGATAAGCACAGCCAGTGTAGTATGCAGGAGACGGGGACCACTCCCTCTCTCCAAGGTTCTCTTCAACACCCACACCCTGTGCAGCTGAGCAGACTGGGAACTGTCATAATAAATTTGTTCTGGGGACAAAAGTTTCTAAGATGCCCCTAAATCCATAAATACTGAATTCTGTTTACATGTAAAATGGTAAAATACATAATAGATGTGTGAACTGGGACATCTATACTAAAGGAAAAATATTTTACGCTCTTCTATTCCCCATCCCAAAAAGTTACTAGGAAAGCTGAAGTCCATGATAGCTCAATTAAGTTAATTGCTGCTTGGCTTACAATTTCTCTTTATGTCAAGGTATATAGATACATATTTTTTTTTTGATTTTTGAGACAGGGTTTCTCCGTAGCTTTTTGGTTCCTGTCCTGGAACTAGCTCTTCTAGACCAGGCTGGCCTTGAGCTCACAGAGATCTGCCTGCTTGTAGTAGTAGCTGCGGGGCTGCATCAACAGCACCCCGGCCACCTGCTAGCTTATGCCCCGAAATAACTACACGGACACTGTATTCTTTTAAACACTGCTTGGCCCATTAACTCTAGCCCTTACAGGCTAATTCTCATATCCCGATCAACCCATCTCTAATAATCTGTGTAGCATCAGTCTTACCGGGAAGATTCTAGCCTACGTCCATCCTGGGTCGGAGCTTCATCACATGTGTCTCCCTGGGAGAGGGCAGCATGGCCTCTCTGAGCTCACTTCCTCTTCCTCCCAGCATTCTGTTCTGTTTACTCCTCCCACCTATGTTTTAACCTATGAGCGCCAGCCAAGCAGTTTCTTTATTTTTTAACCAATGACCTTCCTCCATCACCTGCTTCTGCCTCCTGAGTGCTGGGATTAAAGGCGTGCGCCACCACCGCCCGGCTAGATACATAGATTTTACTTTTGAAAAAAAATTCCCAAAAACTTAGGACCCCTTTCTCAGAAATGACAGGGAGTCCCAGATGGTATCTTTATGGCTTCTGGTGTCCCTTTTCCCCCTGAAAACTGCTGTTTCCTCTTGAGATGACAGACATATTGCAGAGTTCAGTCCCTACCTTCGTAGATTGCCTTACCCAATCCTAACTCCTCTCTCTAAGCAACTTTTTATTCCTGCTCTAAATATTCACATTTTGGTTAATTATTTGAGAAATTCACACAGTGAGAATCGATCATGTTCACCATCCTCACTCAACTCACCAGAAACCTTTGTTTTTTAAAGATACCTTTAGAATATAGCCTAATATAAAATAGTGTTTGTCATGAACATACATTTACCATGACTATTGAAAAGTTCATGCCCTAATTTTTAAAATTTCAAAATGTAGTCTACAATTTGAAGAGACAAGAATGATGCTGAAAATAAGTCTTGAGAAATTATTAGTAACAGAAATTCTGTGAAATTACAATGAACTCATTACCCACCTGATAAAAAGTAAAATATAACCGCATGTATTCTTACACCAATACCATGATTCTGGGTGTGGGATTTGTTCTGTTTTCTTTTTGCTATAGAGAAAAGGTGAGAAGCATCATGGCAAAGATGCATGATAGTTTATTTTACTGTATCTTACAGATCCAACTTCTAATGATGAAGCTTCCCACATAACTTCTTTCTTTTTGGGAACAGAAAGGAAGGAAGAAAAGGAAGAGTCAGAGCTGTTGATACATTGGGATAGGATCTTTCCACTCTCTTGAAACTTTTCACCTTTCCTTCATTTTGTTTCACCAGTTCTCTCAGTGAGAAACCTCCCCACTGCTATGTGTGTAGTGTTTCTGTAGATTGCAATACCAACTCTCCCCACTGGATACCAAATCTATAAAGAAAAGCATTTAAAATTATTTCAAGGCTGCATTCGAACTCAGTGACTAACCTCTTACTCGAAAATACTGTCAAATGTAACTACTGCATGAGAATATTCTGAAGCATATTTGTAAAAACACTTTTAGCAAGAAATTGTTTAAATGGAAAACTCCATGTATCTCTTTTAAATGTTTGTTTTGTTGTTGCTCCTGTTGTTTATGAGTGGAGGTGTGTAGAAATGTTCATTAGTGCTTTGGAAAGTTGTCTTGCTGCCAGTGGTTAAAAAAAAAAATATGATACTGGAAAAAGAAGATCATCAGTAAAATGTGCATCTGTAAACCAAGTTTCTCTTTTCAAATGGCTTGTACCAAGCTGTTTGATATCCCCCTTCCCAACAACATGTGCTGAATGTGATTACTCAGAAGCAGTCCATAAAGTAGGACAGATTTGTTGTGGCAAATGTCGCCATGCTTCCATAAGCACTGCTTTTGCTAGAGGGCACTGTACATTAGAAAGGGCCTTTTGCTCTGCTTAGTAAAGACTGCTTTCTGGTGCAGTACCGTGTCCAAGTCTCTATTTGTTAAACACACATATATGGGCTCCCCTTTATGGCAGATGAGACTGTTGGAAGTGAGATCTCAAAAGGATTAATGCATGGGATAGACAAACCTAGAGGCAATATGAGTATTTTTCTACCAGGAAGAAAGCCATAACATATTCAACAAGTTTTCAAAATTACAACACAAAAGTTTGTTTATAATTCTCTGGCCTCCTTTCCTCTTTACCAGTCATTCTATTCCATTACCATCTTCATCTCTAACTCCATCCTTTAGTCTTCGTCCTTGAACCAAAAAGCAAAGGATCGTTCCTATTTAATTCATGAATACACATCACTTCCCTATCTGTTAGTTTGAAGGACAATATCGAGGACCTAATGTTGCGAATGGCCAGAGCATCTTCTGATAAATAAGGCGATTGTGATGCTGGAAGAGATTCTCTGCTGTCTCTCTCGCACAATCTCTCATGTTGATAGCACACACATACATAATTTCTGTAATATTTTAGCAGTTGAAATAGGATTCATGTGGACCAGTAGTATTTGTTAGTTAAAAGTTGTAAATATAAAACACAGAAAAGAAGGAGGAAAGTATACCAAACTCAGAAGTAAAATAACCATTTATTAAAGGACTTCTGTTTATTTTTCATCAACTGGTTGATTACTTGTTTACTAAACTAACTAGTTTGTAAGTTTGTTTTCAGTTAAGTGATTAAATAAACAAAACGTATTGAAAGACAGCTAAACTCTGAAGAAGTCAAAGTTTGTATGGGTCATCAGTACACTGTAAGTAATAATAAGGCAAAGAAAATAATAATTTAATCAGTTCATAATTTCTAAATTGTTGCAGACATGGGTTTTCTGAACGTGCAGTACCAAAGAGAAAATGCAATGGACGTTAGTGAAAGACTAGATCTAGAATGCAAACCTAATGCTTTAAAGATTGGCAATGCCTTTGTTTTACTCTTTCTCTCTTTCTGTGATTTATAGCATACATTGAAGATCTCACAAGATGCATTGAGCAAAGCAGAAGGCTTATTATCGTGCTAACTCCAGACTATATACTCCGACGGGGATGGAGTATTTTCGAACTGGAAAGCAGACTCCACAACATGCTAGTCAGTGGAGAAATCAAAGTGATTTTGATTGAGTGTACAGAATTAAAAGGAAAGGTGAATTGCCAGGAAGTGGAATCGCTAAAGCACAGCATCAAACTTCTATCACTGATCAAGTGGAAGGGGCCCAAAAGCAGCAAATTAAATTCTAAGTTTTGGAAGCACTTAGTGTATGAAATGCCCATCAAGAAAAAAGAAATGCTATCCCATTGCCATGTGCTAGACTCTGCAGAACAGGGGCTTTTTGGAGAACTTCAGCCTATCCCTTCAATTGCCATGACGAGTACCTCAGCCACAATGGTGCCATCGCAAGCTGATCTCCCTGATTTCCACCATTCGGATTCAATGCAAATGAGGCACTGTTGCAGAGGATACAAACACGAGATGCCAACCAACACCCTGCCAGTACCTTCCTTAGGCAACCACCATACTTACTGTAATTTGCCACTGACACTACTCAATAGACAGATACCCCTTAATAATCCCCTGAAAGAGACTGAGGAATTCTCAAGGAACAATTCCCTACTGCCATTATCATCCAAAGAGCTTAGCTTCACCAGTGATATTTGGTAGTGAGAAAAAAATATCAGTGTCTCTGAACATGATAATATGGAATTTGTGCTACGCTATACTGAGCATAAATGGCACCTAAGAGCATCAAGATGCTGAAAATGTGAAAAAAAGGCACAAAAATCATGTTTATACTTAACTATTTTTGTTTACATTTATAGAATAGTCGGGGAATAGAAGGTCTTGATTTTGTAGTACAGCACCTTGTCCCAATGTACAGTTTTATTTTTTCCTGAAAAGAAAAAAAACTGAATTGTGTCCTTTTCAAGTAGGTTTTATGGCACCACATGAACTGCCCATGTTTAGTAGTTCAGCATTTAAACATATTTTTCAAAAAAAAAAAAAAAGGAAATCCTAGAGACTCAATGAATTTGAAAATTGTAAATGAATGTTTAAGAGAAAAGAGAACTTCTATAGAACAGCTAAAAACAGTTGGGAATAACAAAGGAAAAAATATTGATGCAGCCAATTGGAAGGTTGTTTATCCAGGAAGATCAGTTGAGAAAAGTATGATTGAAACTCTTCAACAGAATGGACAACTCCTGTAGACTAAACCAACAGCCTGAAATAACCGCTTTCAGTTCTATTAGACAAGCCCATCAACTGTAGCCAAACTGGTAGGTAGGTAATCTACGTGCATTCCTGAAGCAAATGAATGGTCAGCTCTAAACTCTCTAAAGATGATTTTTAGTGAGCCTTTCTGGATCATTAAAAAAAAAAAAAAACAACATTTTTACAACATTGAAAATGTACCTTAAAGTACACCTTTTCTTGTTTCCTAAAAACATTTGCATTTACCTGTTTTTCCCTCCAACACTCTTGTGATCTTCTCTAAGATTTCTGTGAAGATGTGGGCATTGCCCTACTTGTTTTTCAGCCTCATTGCAAGTTGAACTTAAACATATATTGACCGCAAATGTCTGCAGTTGGAAAGAAGTAACGACACTGTTCAGAAATGAAGTGCTAAGTTATTCACGTTTACTACTAAGAGAGCAGCCACTGCAGACGTTTTCTTCTCAACCTAGTTGTGAAATGGACTATCCTGTACATACAATGAATCTTTTCGGCTACGTACAAAGCTCCCACAGAAGTATCTGTATTCCAGGTGCTTCAGAGAATCTATTTGATAGAGTAAACTTGCCTGCCCTCATGCAGTAACTGTGACTGTACCATGGCAGAACATCTTTGTCAATAGCCTGTTTCCTAATGGCTGGAAGAAATGTACCCCTACTCTAGCATTTCTTGAGGATTATGTCTTTCCAGCACTTACAATTAATTTGTGTGATCTCCAACTTGATACCTGTGGTGGTCAACTTCTTAAGTGCATATCACAGTTGATTCAGAAACTTTGTAAATGGTTCTTAACAGAAAATTCTTGGACAATTATAAACAAGGACAATATACAAAATGTGTAAAAATTAAGACTTTGTCTACCCCTTGTGATTGTGAGACCCCCAAAGTAGAAACAAATATGAGAAAACATGCTTTGACCTGTCTCTAATCTCTTTCCATGATTGGTTCCCCATAATTCGTCTGTTCCGTGAAAATACCTGATTCCCTGTTGCTTTCCTATATCTAACTGGTCAGAAAATACATTGTGCACCAGACTATGTGAAAGTTTCACAGTGATACACATGCACTTCACAGCAAGACAATTAGCTCCTCCTTTGAAGAGGCCTGTTCAATGTATGTAGGCGTTTCATAGATGTATTTTTTCCACCAAGAATGGAAACTTCTCTAAAAACCATAGGTGTTTTGAAATGAAAATGTATCAATTCTCAAGTGTTTTTCCTGTGTTACAAAGTTGTATTTACTCTGGGTGTTCCTTAATGCTACATGTAATGACTAAATTAATAATGTGCATGAAATGAGTGCTGTGTGTTCTAAGTGGACAATTGTACTTTTTAACTGTTTTATTTTTCACAGAAATCTAGATTAATTCAAATAGAATGTTCAGTCGTATTTTTAAACTAATAGTTCTGTATTGAGCATGCCAGTTCTGAAAATATAACATGGGCCTCTCTGCTTCCTTTATTTACAATGATTAAACGTGGGTAGCAATTTGAGTTGGCTGGCCACAATGTGTCCTTTCACTGCTTGGAGGTGCGCAGAAACAGAGCATTCACACTTGTGCTGCAGACCTTGACAAGAAACCTTTTCTACCATTTTCAGGAACTAATGTGTATACTATCTATAAAAATTTATTTCTAGATGGCAATTCAAAATTTAATTTTCATCTGAGATTTTTTTAAAAGGAAAGATATAGCCCATGGGGTATAATAAGTATTTAGTAGAGAACACAAAATATACTTCCAGTTGTTTTTATGATGAGGCTTTTTCCCCCCTTTTCAACTTTTCACTGAATTTTGGAAATCTAGGAACCATGGTTACAAGCAGTTCTTACACACTCGTAACAAATTTATTTTTATGTTATTGTATGTGAAAATACATTTCCAAAATGAATTTTAAAGGTGAAATGTTCTGAAAACCAGAATGAAAAATACAAAAATGCAAAAAGCATGATAATATATACAAATGAAAGCATTCCATTGAGAGTAAACAATGCTCACAGATATGGGCAACATGTTCATCCATTTTACATAGCAAAATATGACTTCTGGGCAGGTTTCATAACTATTGTCTCCGATCAAACCAGAGAAATAACAATGTAACTGTGTATTTTCTGAAAAGTTATATCATCACTGCCTCTAAACCTTAATTGAATTAGAGCCAAATCTGTCCTACTACCAAGAATTCATTCAGAACTATGACACAGAGTTGCCATCAAACTTCCAGTAAGGTTTGAATCCAGTGTGCCATCACGTAAAAAAAAGATGTTTTGGTTGTGGATGGAAGATAAATATTGTGCGGCTGAAAATTGTTAGAGGGCTATAGTGAGAAGTGAAAACAGTTCAGTTGTGAAGACACATCTATAGGATTTCAGTGTGAATTGAGATGGAGATGAATAGTAACCAAATGATTGCAATGTAATCAGTTGGAACACTGCAAGCAAAAACAAGAAGACTCTGACAAGTAGAGGAAGGAAAATCTGTGACAACTGTATTTTTTTAAAATAGGGCTTACAAGAGTATAGAATCACTGGTCTAAATCCTTTGCTGTCTTTTGGCATTTTATTTTTAAATAAACTAATAAAGAGGAAATGGCTTCACTTTGGGGGTTAGGGAGGTATTTATTCTAAAAGTATGACAACCTGAGTTCAAATCCCTAGCACCTATGCAAAAACCTGAATATGGATGCCAGGCACACCTATCATTGGAGGGTGGAGAGATGAAGATTCTGTGACCTAACTGGTCTTGAAGCTGAGCTGAAAGGTAAGTTTTGGTTCAATAAGCAACCCTGTCTCAAGGCAGGAAATTGGAGAAGTTGGAAAAGACACCAAACATCCTGTTCTGGCATGTACACTTGCAAGTTCATATTCATATATATATATATATATATATATATATATATATATATATATATATGAGAGAGAGAGAATATAAACTATTCACTTTTACAATGTGTTTTCCAAAATAATAATAATAAATGACCAAAGAAAATACCCTGAAAATTACACGTATAAATCTTCAGAGTTCTTGTCTTCATTTCCCAAGGTGAGGTAATGAACTGATGCTAAAGCTAAGATGGAAAGTTGTCCTATAGTGATCAGCTAAATAGGAACACTGAATCATTGTTACTCTTTTTTGGGGAGTGAAGTTAATGTTGAAAATTGTCTGGCTCCAGTTCCTCTATTACTCATGCATTTTTATTGTGAGATGCCTGATACACGGTCAGAGTTTTAAATATTAAGGCTCTCTGATAAACATATGAAGCACTTTGATAAGCTTAATCATTCACTTTAAACTCTTTCATATCAAAGTTGCCTTTAAAAGAAACTGAAATCAGCTAAGAGAAATTTAAGAAGAATATTTATCACTCCACTTAATTACCATGTAAACAGAATTTGTAAAATTATGTACAACCACCTACGTTTGTTTTTCTACATGCTCACTGCTATTTTCTCAACTATATTTTTTCCAGAAGGTGTTAAAGTCAATCATTAAATTTGTTGACTGCCTGTTGTATACTGGCCAGTGCACAAAATATAATAGGAAATTTTAAGTCACAATACTTGTTCTCAAATAGTTTATACATCACATTCATGAAGAAAGCAGTGTTTGTAATACGGTTTCAGTGTAGAAAAATAATATTTTTCATGTGCAGCAATAAGTGAGATGGGGATTCTGTATAGACTTGGACAAGAGATAAGTTTAGGATAGTGAAAACCGTGGTGAAAATGGAAATTTCTCTGATACAGAACATAACACATGTGAATACGGAAGGAAGCATAACAAAATTCTCTTCAGGTGATAGCAAGAGCAGAGATCTGAGTAAGACTGGGAGGAATGTTAAAGCATTCATCTAAGAGCAAGCAGACTTAGAGAGAATTAGGAAGGGAAAGGGAATGGAGGCTGGGAAGCCAGTTATGAGACTATTCTCACAGTCCAGTTGAAATGAGAGCGGGAGATAAGAGGTGACCTTAAACCTCAGCAAGGAGCAGACAGAGACGAAGAAGAAGTAGACAGGATATAGTGATGCAGAAAGTAAAAATGAAAAAAAGTAAACAGTTCAATAATCAAAAACACTAGTTGGATCAAAGGAATTTTGTGAGCATTTAACCCATACTTTAAACTGAACACTGCCAGGGCAAGAAGATAGAAAGCAAAGAGCTAGGGGCAACTGGTACTGAAATGCCCTGGGAAGCATTTGAAAGAGATAAATTCTCTGAAATGGCAAAGTGCTTCTTTAAATCGGGTTTAGAAACAACTATATTTGCTCCACTTGTAATTCCAAATTCCCAAGGAAGAAAAAGATGGGATTTTTTTGTTCTCAAGTACCACTGTCTGGTTCTATTTAAATTCCACATCTCATTTTGAAATAAAGAATTATGACCTTGAAATGAAAGAATTGAAACGATTAAGTCAAGATAAGCAAGATGGCTCAGTGTGTAGAACCGCGTGCTGCCAAGCCGGACTACCTGAGTTAGATCCCCAGGACCCACATGGTAGAAGTAGAAGCCCAACTCTCACACAACTCCCATTCCTCCACATCTGCACTTACACACATGTGGAGAGAGCTGAAGGGAGGGAGAGAGAATTTAAGTGTCAAATACAAAAAGAAAAGAC